CTTGCGCCTCATTCGAGACGCCCTAGAATTGGGTACGTCCAAAGCAGTCGTCTGCACCAGTTGCATGACCAATGCAGTCAGAAGTTGGATGTTCTTGCCGTCGGCAAGTTTGAATTGCCTGGCACTCTGCCGGGTAGATGGAAGCTTTTCGAGTGATACAAGGATTTCGTCCAGGATGTATGGGCGCTGGGCGGGATACTTGGAGAAAATCTTGGCCAGTACATCCATGGCTCCACGTCGAACCGACTCGTATTTTTGGACACCGACAGTAGAGTCCTTCTCCGTGTGAGAGTTCTCGACGAATATTAACTTAGCTGCGAAAAACTCTGCGGCGGTGACTGTTCCTTCTGAGACGTCAATCCGCGAGAGGAAATCTGCGAAGAGAGCAAGTACTTTTTTGCTTTGCTGGATTAATGAACCAAGAACCCGTTTCTGAGCAGAGAAGAACTCGAAATACTTCGCATCCTTGCCTCCAGGACGTGCCTGGACAGCCGGGATGATACAGTGATCAAAGACTTGGTTAAAAACATTCGGTATGGCTTCAATCAAATCCTCTGGACAAAGGTCTCGTTCCGTCTGGGTCCCAGACATCGTTTGTAGAAGACTCCCAATAGCAAGAAGAGCATTTTGCATGTCATCCAACTTCCTTAACCAATCCTGTGTTTCAGACTCATTCGAGGGATCGTCTATTCTCAGATCCGGCGATTGGGCAGCAATTATTGGCTTTTCACAAAGCTTCTGGATCCTATTAAGATAGTCCGACGGGATATCCTGGAGGCGATTGTACCCAACCACTTTCTTGATTGCCTTCTGTAGCCGCGTATGGGCATCGGACGAAAGGATAGGTCCGCTCACCTCGAGTGCATGAGGTGTAGTAAAAACCACGTTTGTCTGTTCAGCAGCCGCACCGGAGGATGTACTAGGGTCGAGCTGATCCTCCGACTCGAAGATCTCATGAAGCATGTCCTGCAACTTGACTAGGGCAGCATCTGCCTCTTCCTTTTGGTCTTTCAGTCGGATGGCCGTAAGATTCTCGCCCCCATCAGCATTAAGCTTTCTCTTCTTCGACATGCCGTGTTCGTCTATGTGGTGTGGCAGTGGTTTGACGGGGATGACTACCGACAGTTGACTTGTCTGTTGACTCGGTCGGGAGGAGGGTGTGGGTGCAGGTCTATGTGCGACGGAAGGTTGCTTTTCGTTAAAGGAAGTGGGCTTTTGCGGCGGTTCTATATCATCAGGCGTAGGATCTGTACATTGTCAGTTCACTTCTGAAGCCCCTGTGAAGCGATAAGCCCTACATCGGAAAGCAATATCCGTAGCGTCCAACATCATCTTCGCAAATGAGCCAAGCTTGTTGCTGCTGGCGACATGGTCGTTGGCCGCTGTCGAAGGTGATTGCTGAGCGCTAATCGAGCTTGTCGGCAGCTTGAACTTGCTACCGGAATAGGTGAGCATATGATATAAGAATGAAGCATTAATGAGGCTCACAATTCGGTCAACTGATCACCATCCAACAACTGCTGCAAGTATTCCCGAGATGTCTCCAAGCGATTCGACTCATCCCGTCCCGATTGGATTTCGCCATTGAGTTGAGTTAATGCTGTACGGCCGGACTGAAGGATGTGATTAATGGAGGTCGTATTGGGGGGTCGACCGACGTCCGGGCGTAGGATGCAATCTTAAGGAGACAAGTCAATCAGTTAGTTAAAGTTCACTTTGTTCACAGAAAGGGTTTATCTCAGTCTGACCTAAACCGAAGATCGGCGAGCTGGACATGGGAGAGTACTGCAACGCCTCCTCCACAGCCAACGGCCTTTGCCAGCGGCGAGCCTGCCCGGTGGGAGCATGAGCTTGCGCTTGAGGATGGCCGTTGATGACGACCTGAACGGCCGGATGCCAGTTTTGAGCCATGGCGGCGGGTATCCCTACTGGGAAGCTAAAGATGGGTTGAAAGAAGATCTATGACGGTAGCTTAGACATGCCCTCCTCAGAGACATGGCTATGGGAGCAAGGAGAATGAGAGACCACCCCCGATAAACGCCTGATCATCCAAAGATCTCCATGGCAAACCAATGCAATAATTAATGCCAGGCACGGTTCTCTTGCCGCTGCCGCGCCTCACCGCCCGGCACTAATGGCGCGCTGGACCTTCGAAAATTGGCCCGTGCTGGAGCCCTTTCTTTCCGCCGCCATCCAAAGAATTCAAGGCGGGAAAGGAAAAAAAAAAAAAGTGAAGGATCATTTATTCGTTTTCAATTGTCCGGTTGATCTGGTATTTTTTGTCGCAAACCCATATCTTTCAATATGTCTGCGATTGGAACTCTCGTCTTCTGCACTGACTGCGGCTCTCTATTGGAGGGTTCAATTGGTGATCCGACTAAGATTCTTGTCTGCGATGTCTGCGGGGCTAGGAATAAAGGTAGGTTTGCCTTGTTGGTATTCTAAGTTACAAAGTCGCATTCACTGACCTTGTCCCCTTTCGCCTCGCTATTCAGACACCGTTCCCCAGACCATTGTCTCCGAGTCCAAGCCGAGCGCATTCCCGTCTGCTTTGAGAGCGAAAAGATCTGCGGTCCAGACCTTGACGGCGTCAGACAGAAGAACCGAAGCCCTTACTCAACATACTTGCATCAAGTGTGGAAGGAAAGAGATGTACTACACCACCGTACAACTGCGTAGTGCAGATGAAGGTAGTACGGTGTTTTACACATGTGTTTGTGGTCACAAGTATGCAATCTACCAGCCCTTCCCTTTCCCATACCCTATACTAATCTTCCATTACACAGGGAATCGACAAACAACTAAACGGCAAAAGACCTGGTGTCTATGTTTTTTTTTGGGGGAATTCTCAATTGTACATCTATGAGTCATGAAAGCAACTATTTACCGGCATTGTAGACTTTTTGTTCGCATAATTCATCAAGCAGACACGGCAGCAGGGGCACCAGAGTCCGGCACCAGCGCATACTCCATCTCTCCGTTCTTCTCAAACTCGGCCATATCAAGAGCCACGATAATGCTGTCCCGGACAACCTGCTCGGGGTCGTTCAGGAACTTCTTCAGGGTGTCCTCGACACCATCAACGTCACCCAAGCTACCGAGGGCCTCGGCAGCTTCGTGGCGCACCATACCTTCTTCTTCTTGGTTGCTCAGACACTCGGTGAGACTAGGGACGGAGGCGGGGTGGCAAAGTTGACCGAAAACGAATGCGACTTCGTGGCGGAACAGCGCAGAGGGGTCCTTGAGACCCTTGGAGAGCGCATCGACGGCCTGAACGGCGGTGGGCAGATCAGGAGGCGAGGCGAGGTCGCGCAGGGCAAACATGGCACGGTATCTTTGGAAGAGAGGGAGCTTGGTGTCCAACAATGTCTTCTCCAACTCGGGAATAGAGGGTTCTGCGGCATCAAGGGGCATTGGCGGGGCGGGGTCGATGGAGGTGAAGTCACTATAAGATATAGAAGCACTTGATTAGCATGCAATCCGAATGACTTGGCTGCGACAAAGAAAAGTAAGGTCATACCTAGGCTTCAACTTCTCAGCCTTCCTGGCTTCGGAGTTCTCCCAGACGATACGGTCCACAGCGATGTCGCAAGTCTCCCTAATGACCTCGGGCTCGTTCTGGTCATCCTTCAGCGCCTTCAGAATCTCCAGACTGTCCTCATAACCCAGAGCACCGAGGGCCTCAGCGGCCTCATGACGGCACATAACATCCTCCTCCTTATCCTTCAGAACCTGCTGAAGGTACGCGACAGCGTCAGGGTTACGAGTCTGACCAAGACAGTAGGCAAGCTCATGCTTCAACAAAGCCGACTTGGAGGAGAAAGCAGCAGCAATGGCCTCAATAGCCGGAAGGGTGTCCTCAGAGGGAGGCTGCAGGCAGGCCAGGTACTTGAGGGAAAAGAGGGCCCGGAAGCGGCGCGCGAGGGGCTCGGACTCGTTGACAATAACCTTGCGGAGGGTGAGGACAGTCTCACTCACCCCCTCCAGGTTGTTCTCGTTGACAGCAGACATGATAAAAAAAAAGAAAAAAAAATTATTGATTAAGGAGTGTTTCTAGTTTGCACAATTTCACGAGATCCAGCGAGAAAAAACGAGGGGCAAGAAGGGGAGAAGAGGAGGAGGGACCTTTCAGGCATGAACGACGATAGGTAAATTTTCGATCTTATCACGTCCCGATAATAAATTTTAGGTGGGGGCGGCGGGGTTCCAAACCGCCGTGGCTGGGCGCCTTTTGCTTTGTAAATCTCTCTTACAGAGTACTATGCTCGGTCTCTTTTGCCGGATCTGTTCCTGCCGGGATGGTGATCATCGAACGATATTTTTGAGGCTTGTCTTCTTTGAGAAAGTGGGAGTGTGAGGAAACATCTTATTATATATAGTCTAGTTGACAGTCACAAGGCATTGCCTTATGTAAATATTCATCGCACAATTCCGAGCAGACCGTTATTTCCATCCTCTTTTCTCCAGACCGCTGAAGGCTAATTCGAGTCATTGCGGAAAAGCCAAAAAAGAACGATCCACTTGCTGCGTGCCTGGATAGTAGTAGTACTACTCATCTGCTACCCGGTGAACTTCCGTTCTTCCCTCGTGCCTTCAGAGGATTTAGCCTTATCTGTGTGAGGTTTGGGTTGTGAGGCGTGTTGCTTAATGTAGAAATTCAGTACTCATTTTTCCTTTTAAGATGCCACTTAGACTAGTACATCAAAACCACCCAACTACTACTAATCATTACTCGTAGCAGTTCATGGCATAGTATCGAATCATTCATATCATGGAGGGACTGCGTTATATTGTTAACATTGTAGTAGATGATGGTCATTCTATAATGTTCAAATCTCTCGGTTATTCATCTTGTAGGAAGTACTAGTAGCTCGCCTGTATATATAAAGGGTCACTCCTCAGTGGGCTAACACCATTCGTACTAAGTAGAGTAAAGAGTGGCATACCAAAGTGACATTTATTCTACTAGTCCCTTGACCATTACTAGCTATGCTAGTGTAATGGAATTCTGAAAATGAAGTGCCATGAAAAGAAGGCACAGCATGTTAAAAGTATAGAGCCTCAACTTTCCGTACTGCAATGCCCTTGCCTCGATAAAGGACCAACAAAGACTGGACATGGATATCGACATTTGCTACCAATGCCTCTTGTGATACTTGGCACAAAGCGAGCTATTTTCTAGAATGCACTGGTAACTAGCGCAAGCCTTTTCTGAATGCTTTTCGAGTTTCTCAAAAGTCGCTTGGCACTATACTCGATATATGAACTCAATGGTGCACGCCGGCAATCAGGAGATCCACCAGGTCATGTCAATAAAAGTTTGCAATAGCGAAAAAAGCGTAACATTTAGGAAAGTTAATTTATCACCTAGCACGACCCAGAACTCAAACAAAGACCTGCACTTATGTACATGACACACCAGAAACCCAAATCATTTAGTCTTGATGTACTTGAGCTTCTTCGGTTCGTGGACGAAGTTGTTAGCGTAGGCCTTGGGGACGAAGCGACGCTCATTCGGCTCCTGAACGAAGTACTCGTATCCCTGCTTCTGGGCGAACAGAATGGCATCCTCCTTGCTCTTGAAGTTCAGGTGGGTACCCTGCATGCAATCAGCAGAGGATTGCCAGCCCATGAGGGGGTTCTCCCAGCGATGACCCCTCTGCAGAATATCCCAATCCATTCTCCAGTGGTGACCGTGCCAGGTTCCGGACTGTGTTGCGGGCTTCGCTTGACGGTAGATCCTGTATATGACTGATCAGCGCGACTGATACGGGTGGGCGACAAATATCATTTATGGAGCTTCATACCGGACAGTACGGGCCTGCAGGTCAGTGGGAGCGCCGGACAGAACAGCGGCAGCAACAGTGGCACCAGGCTCACTGCCATCCATGACGCGCTTGGGCACAGGGGAGAATTGACTGATTTCGATTGGTCAGTTTAGCCACTCCAATTGTAGCGCGAGGTGGGGTATTTCGTACGAGGTGCCGTGATCAATGGTGGCATCGTAATCGGGCTGATGACGGGTCATAGCCTCAGAAGGGCTCTCCTTGCGGATCAAGGTGCTCTCGGTGTGAGGAACAGTCGGGGCATCAGAAGTGCTGGATGTGCGGGAAGGGTCGCCTCGACCGGTGCCTGTGGACACAAAACGCGCATTGACGGGGGCGGCGAGCCTGCTCGTGCGAAGGCAGGCGAATCTTCCTGCTCTGGCAAGCGACATGATGGCGAGGTTGTGCTTGGAGGAGTGGAGAGAGCAAGGTGCTGCGGTAGAGCAATTGCAAGTTGAGGTATGCGGCGAGTGCCGGCCTTCAGACGAGTCCGAAAGCGGTTTAGCGCGAGTTGAATGAGCCTCCCTGCGTCGAACCGCTCTTCCGACAACCCGCTCTCTCGTTGGCACTTCTTCCTTCTCTCCGTCATTATCCATTGTCCTAGTTCACCTGCTAGCGTGAAGGTAAGTTGGTTATTCCCTGAGTGACGCTCTGTATTTTGCGTCTCTCTTTTCATTGATCCGACAATTTTCTGACTTGGGGTCGCACAGATCCTACAAGATGAGCTACATCGCCCGCCGCGGTCTCTCGACCTTGATCCCTCCCAAGGTAAGAAACAACCGATACAACCACAAGAATGTGTCTTAATTCAGTGCTAATTGACGTTTAGATCGCTTCCCCCAACGTGAGAACCCCTACCTTCATCATCCCCGACCCTGCCTAGACGTTACCGCCCGGAGCAATCTCTTTCGTGCTTTACCTCGGGAACTCAACAAAACGCGCGTTATACCTGTTGAACTCAACTAACTGTCAAAAAGGCGATCGGTGCTGCCAAGGATGCTGCCCGCATGGACCGTGTCGTGAACTTCTACGCCAGACTCCCCCGTGGTGCTGCCCCTGAAGTTAAGCCTACCGGCATCATCGGCCGCTACCAGGCTCGCTACTTCGGAAAGAACCCCTCCGCTGCTCGTGAGTACACTCTCGCAATCAAGTTTTACAGTGCGAAAGATGCTGATCATTTGCAACTCGATAGCCCTCGCCCACGCCATCGGTACCATCCTGATCCTGGGCTACAGCATGGAGTACTACTTCCACCTCCGTACGTTCCCTATATTCTTCTGGTATATTGAGCAGCAGAACTTACCATTTTACAGGCCACCACAAGAACCACCCCCACTAAGCAACTCGCTTTCTGGTTTCTGCGAGCGGGAGATCCTGTGTATATACCACACACTCTACAATGAAGACGATGTAGAAGAATCAAACTTGTACCACCTCTAAACTGTATCCTTTGGTCAACGATCATTCCTCTATCATCTCTAAATATCCCGATTAAGCATTGTTCAACAAGTGATTGCCGTAAATGTAGAATACTCATACCTCCACAATCTTTGAGATCACATGACCGGTCAGACCGGACACACTAGGTGTATCTCAACACATTATAGTCCTTTGTCACAAATCCAGTAGTACTATCTGGCACGAATCATGTCCAGAGCTATGTCCGATAACACATGGAACAAGAACAACTTGACGATGGTCGTACTGAGTACTATAACTAATATATATACCAACCCTGATAGTTATCATGACCATTTTTGGATCTGGAACCGCATGGTTTGGGAAGGGAACAAGTTAAGACGATTGACACCATGACAGTGATTTGCTTTATATCGTAAGTTCAAAACAGATACTAGTGTATTCAGTTACTGCAAGTTGGAATACACAACGCTACAAAGTATGAATGTGGTGAGAGAGGACAAGGTACGTGAATTCATTAAGATTACTACACTTGGTATTACAAGTAGCACTCGTAGTTTGACAGAGGCCACTTTTAGAAACATGACTAGGCAAATTAGGTACCATCTCTGCACAAAGAATCTTTTTCAGCCTGATCTGATTTTTCTGAGCTCAGCATCCGCACGAAGTGTAATCGCAAGCAAAATAGGTCCGAGGTTTTTCATATGTGATAACTCCAGCGTATTCCAAGGACCGAACATATGCATAGTCATGAAAGATGGGCGCTGGCTGCTATGCTTACTATCTGTCAAGTACTTAACGTAGTCAGCATGGTACTGAGCAACTATGAGGTAGATTTCGTGTCGATCCTGGGCGACAAGAAAGTGTCTGTTTCTCCGGTCAGCATCTTTGTTGTTTTAGAGACGGAACATAGATCTTGCTGAGGGATGAAGAGCGTCATACCTCATATCTATTGGATTTGGCAGCTTCTCACAATCATTCTTTATCCAAGCTACCATTTGAGCGCTCTCTTGCATTTGGATAGGAACTGATTTCATGGATCGTCTGACAGGCTTCACTTCGATAATGGCCTGGGCTTCTCCGTGAAGGCCATCCAGATATCCATCAGTTCTTGCCTCAAAACTAGCATTATCAAAATTAGCCTTGAAAGCCTTTCTGTGCAAAGTCCAGTTGTTGGCGAGCTTGAAGGGTATGGTCAGCGCATTTAAGAAGATAACTAAAGCACAGTTCACTATCTGCTCATCTTTTGTCGGAGGGTATAGCACATTGTCCGGTTCCTGGGAGTCGGGTGTGACTTCCTGGAAGGGGCTTGGAGTCTCTGGAATCTCTGAGATCGGGGTCTCTGGAACCAGTGTTTCTGAATCATCAAGCGGATCGTGGATACGAAGCTCCTCAATGTTCAATACTGTGGAGATGTTAGTTGATTTTGAAGGTGTTTCCAAGTAGTCTTTGGCAAGCTCTCGATTCAGTAAACGGGAGCGTGTCCGGTGTGCAATAGGAGTTGCAAGTGACAGTGGATCAGTATCATCCTTGGTGTTTGTAACCTCAAGCTGGTAGTATCGGGCAATTGAGAAGTTCCCTTCTCCAGCATCTGGGCGCGTGAAACTCTGACAGTATGTATCCCATGATTTGTAACCTTTCAACAACTTCTCCGCCTTAGCGATCCATCCATTGAAGCCAGGCAGCATTTTTGGCAGATCTGTTGCGTGGTGCCCTACCCACAGTACACGAAGCAGAAGAAACTGCTTGTATGCAATTCTCGAGGCTGAGGCTAGCTCTGCATCGTGTACAGTCTTGCCTGTGAGCTCCATTTCATCCATGGCATCCTCCCATTCTTGCGCATTTTTAGGTAACTTGTGTGGTAAATCAGGCATCGTGATATGCTTTCATGAGTGCAGCCAATGAGAGTTTCGAGCGAGTACGAATATAAGTCTATCCAACCTTGGAGGGAACAGACAAGGTGTGATCCGTATAGAAAAGTCTCAAATCGGAGACGTAGGAGAGGGGCTTGCGGTGACTATGTTCGTTCTTGTTGTACACTTCTATTTCAGATTTAGAAATGACACTCCGGTAGTGCTTCCAATCTCCTTTTTGAGTCACAGAGAGGGACCAGGCATCAGTATATCCAATGAGGAATTGTTAGCATGACTACCAATGCGCGTATGCTGGCTGCGAGTAGTTCTCGCTGGTCGACGCTATTGGGGCTCGATCACAGTGAGTGTTGACAATATGATTTTGTAGGTAAGAAGGACAAGCAGGACAAACCAAGTACAGGTGACTGGTCTAAAACAATAAGGGTAAGTGTAGCAATGCAAGAGACGTTCCATCTTCTTGCGGCATCAGCTGGTATCAAATAAGTACTGCTAGCTAGTACTCGAATTGAATGGCGGACATGGCCAATAGAGTGAAGTAAAACACACATCCTTCAATGAAGTCACATTCATCAAGTAAATAGTTAGCATTGAAGACACAGAAGTAGATTGAATTGGATATGTGAAGCTTGAACAGCACTGACTGCGTATGTGTAAGTGAGTAGGTTACTACTACTAGTAGATGCTGTGAATCTGAGAGCGCTGATTGGTGGTTACTCGGCAACCAATGTTGCTGTACCCAAAGGGGAAACACCTTCATTGCGACGTCCATGAAGACAAGGAACAACATAAGAGAGCACAGAATCCCCTTTTTCATCACTCATCCACACATCGTTTTCTATGTAGAGCAACTAATCGGCCTCACAAATCAAAAAATCCTTTTGATTCTCCACCACTATGACACGCGTTGCAGAATCTCCAGCCCGTCGCCAGGTGCGGGTGGCTTTGAGGGACTTGGCGCTGGATATCAAGAGCCTAGCAGTTGATGAGTTCGACCTGCAGCAACTAGAGAACATCAATATCAATGTCGATTCTATGGTGCTAGACGAGATGTCATCAGATAAGCCGATCTATTTTGCGCCTTATTCGGACCACTCATTTCCAGAACCCAATGACGATGACCTTCATGGATCTTATAACGGAGTAGATGATGAAACAGACCCTGCTTTCACCCGTCCTTATGATCGCGCATACGTGATGGACATGCACTTTGACTCTTACATCAGCTACTACAACCTAAAAGCCAAACGTGAAGGGTATAGAAGCCCTTGGGTCCCAAAATGGTAAGGATTCCACTCCCGGATTGAGGATACTCACTAACGTATACTATATAGTATCGGGGACTCAGCATTTGGGAACATCGGCCTGTACCGGGATGAGCAACCAGAGTTCGGATGCTTCAGTATCGCGGAGCCGAAAGACCCTGCCTGTCCACATGTTAAAGCGATCATTTACAATAATATGGTCGCCACGGATTCCACAATTCTCTTCGGCGAGTTGATGCCAATTCTCCGCATCATGTTGAAGCAGTATTGGAGAGCAAAGTACATACATTCGATGGTCTCACCGGTAAATACTACGTCATCTAATTACTGGCCAGCAAGTACTGACTCATACTCCAGGTCTTGGTGTTCTCGCTCATGGGTTTACAGGCTCGAGTGATTGAAGCCTTCTTCCAGGGTCAAGAGCTGATTATACGCCCCACCAAACTGTATGATTTCAGCCACGGAAATCCCAGTGCCTTCAAAACATTTACCCAGTGGTATATGGGTAAACCTATCAGGGATACTACGAAGGCTTCCTGATACCTTGGCTAGTTTCGTATCAGTTTGTCATCAGCTACATATCAACTGCGTGCTTATGATTTTTAATCACGTTGCTCTCTAATCCTTTTACATCGTTCAAGCAGGGAGTCATGGTACGTGGGAGATGCATGACACGTGGAGGAGTTGCAAGGCGTATGTTTGCTTATGAATTACATGACTAATGAGGATGGGTCTGTTTTTTTCCTTATTGTGACGTTTCTCAGTAGCCGCTTCTGCAATAATATTTCTGGGGTGTAAGTACTATGACCCTATTTCCAAATAAAATAGCGCTTGAAATAAACTCCTTTCCATAGCGAGGATGGTGTCTTTCCCAAACATTGATCAATCAAGAGGCTCTAAGCCCCCGTATTTCCAGACAACACAGTGTACATGATATACTTCCAGTAAGATGCAGATCGCTCCCCACCCAGCCAAGAAAACAGCCAGGGACAGGGCTCAGTGCTACAGTATCCTTGACAGTGAGAAATTACTGTAACATCGCTACAATGTCATACACTCTTCGATGCCAAAGACCTCATAGTTTGTGGCTGTGCAAGACGGACTGCAGCACTGCACCTCTCACAACTCCCAGACAACGAATGCCTCACTTGATGGTGGCTGAGCAGTGATGAGAGTGCTAAGTTATGCCCTACTTCTTGGTATGGAGCGTCAGAACTTAATGGGTACGGAGACGTAAACTCTGTCGTGGAAAGATCGCAAAGATTATACCTGAAAGAGGTGGTGAATAGAGTTTGTGGTTTGTATAACTGGTACGATCTGGTATTAGCAGATAGGAAGTATCACTGGGTAAGACAGGGGGATGCAGTTCTGGAATGGTCTGTAGGAGATTAGTAAATGATTATGATGATTGGGTTTTCGGGGGAGGGGGGTGGTATATGCAGTGGGAAGTGTGGAATCATCCTCTCTTGTTTTCTTTTTTCCCTTTTTTTCTTCTCATTTTATTTTATTCTATTTTATGTAATTCAGTTCGTTATTCACCCCCAACGGATTTCATGTAGTGACAGCATACGAACGACGGGGCGCGGCAGGCAACTGTTATGAAACTCATTGCCTGCATAAGTAACGGGACATTCACTCGATGTTAGAGTTTAAGGCCAGGGCAAAGAATGCATCGGACCATGGTCCTTTAACGGATATGTCCGTCGATTCAAGCAACGGAGGTAACTTAGCATGTTCCCTCCGATATGTCTTCTGTCGGCATCTTACGTGAGATGAGCGAGACGGTCGGGGGCACTCAATAGCTACCCAAGCAGTCGATCAAGTGTTGGGTATTTTTCCAGAGTAATGAGAAAGAGCCTCCAAAAAAATGATGGTGTGGCTTAGTTGCCTCCCAGTCTAGACAACTGACTCAGAGAAGGTACCGTGAACTTTGCGGAAGTCGTATGCCGATTCATGCATTGTGATAGACTTGATTCGTTAAGCACTGGCTTCCGAGTGGCGAATTCTAGACTTTGCATATAACGGTATGTGCTACTGGATAGATGGTGATTGGCGATAGCCAGGTACAGTGTCCGGAGCACATGTTGGAAGGCAAGCTGCTACCTCTACACTACCAGTAGCTTGGAGCTCAAGTCCAGGACAAACCGTTTGTCGTAGTGCCTCGGTTGTCAAGAAATCGCAACGAGATGAGCTGTCTGGGTACAGCCACCATGAGAAACCCGGGCAATGCACAACTGGCATCGCTCCTACGTCAATTTGGGCTTGACGGACCGATGCAGATACCTCTGATTCTGCAGAAGGCGGTGTTTGGGAGAGTAAGTAGTGTGTGACGTTACTTAACTAATCCCTTACTAACTAAGCCACGGAAGAAAGCAGCACTGCTCCTTGGCCGTCATCTCGAGTCTTACTGCGGAAATTGCTGTGCATCGGCTTAACTCGGGGCAGGGGAAGAGGCCCTTCAACATCTGTCCAGTGAGGGCCTCACAACAGAATGAGGCAAGTCAAATAATTCACGCAGTTTTGGCGCGTTCTGGATTTCTGCCATCAAACCTTGTGGCTATTGTCTTGAATTGTTCAAGTGCCATTCAGAGCGGACACCGCGCTAGCCTTGTCGGAAAGGAAGCGGGGTAAGCAGTGGATGGAGGGTGAAAGTGAATTTACTGAGTTTCCCCTGTGGCGCAGCTGCTTGTGAACAGTCCCCGATCTTGGGGTCCTGAAACCCCCGTTGTCTAGTCTAGACCCTACTTACCTTTCAGTTCTATCTGGCCGTTCACCCACTCCTCTTTAGCCACACATAATCCGACCCCAGCTAATCCATAATTCGCTATCCACCAAAGTCATGCTCTGGGAATCGGCGCTCCCCGAGATTATTCATTCAGAGAATATATCCATATCAGAGCCGTTGTCGCCTCACTTTGTGAATCGATCATCTTGTTCTGTCGTTGGGCACGGGGATGATTTGGCTATTCTCGATCACGATCCTCGTTTGGAGTCGGTAGACTCCGTAAGGCTACTCTTTCCAGCCTAGTCGGAATATTGTTCCTGTTGGTAGACGGCTTGTACGGTATGTTTTCGGATATAGTGTACTGAAGTAGGATTCACATTTGCTATTGATTGATGACAGCAAGCATAGATGTGCGAGATCTCTTGGGTAGCTACCGTAACAGCTTGCGTAGCAGTATGAAGCTCCCCAGCCATGTCGAACTTGCTAGCGGCGATCCTTCCAGAAGTAAGTAGTAGTACTCCGTAGATAAGTAGCAGCTGATTAGAGAGCGACGAATGGCAGTGCAGTGTGATTCGAAGTCGGCATCAGTAGTAACATCCATCGCAGTTGCAAAAGTGAGAGAAATCTCGACTGAGCTCTCAATTCGCAAATGGAAGTTCCTCTTTCCAGTAAATTGCATTTACTCACGATTCTTCAGTCCAGAACTTTAGGCAGCAAGCTCCTCCATGATCGTTTGCGGACTGTTGGTTGTCGATGACGTTCCGGCCAGCCAGAGTGCCTGGGGATGATGGCCGGCAAGGCTGCCAGAAAATCACACGCAAACATCGCCCAGACTAGTACCGCGCAGACGTCACTAAAACACTCGAGTCCTCAGAGGTAACAATACCTGCTCTGCTAAACTGGTATCGGTCAATACAGGGGGTGCCCATTTGCCCCAGTGTATTGATGGATGACTCCCTCCTAGTCCTCCTACACTACTACCATATAAGAGCGGAAATATCACCCCCCCCCGAGCTACTCTTTTTTCTGTTGCTGGATTCTACTCATCGCAAAACCAAGATTTCCTACAAGTCCTAGAGCTTCCTTTCAAAAGAAAATTCATTTTCTCCTTTGTTAAGACTGCTCTCTTTAATTTTTGTGTGCCTGTCAGCGAAACAGCGGAGGATTTCTTCTTACACTTACTGGACCTCATCTTGTCATCTGTGTTTGCTTCCTTCAATCCTCAACCCACCCCACCCTGACTTGCATTGATCTTCCTTTCAATCCGACAGGATTCAATAGCCTCCATCGATGGGAGATGACACGGGAAACGGCAGAAATCCTTTCTTTCAGGGCAATTGGCCCATTTTCCCCCCTCAATCACCCCAAGGGAACCATCTAATGCCCGGTGGTTACCCCTATGCTACCTCATCGGTCAGTCAATAATCGAATACATTGCGCTTCGTGGCTTTAGTGTCTAACATTCTGGCATATAGCACTATGCTTCATCCTCTCCGCACTCGCCAGTATCGACTTCGAGAAGTATCAGTCCAATTGATGGGCTGCATCTAGACATGAGCTTTCTCACGGACGGATTGATGAACGATATGGTGGGTGGGCATATGGCAAACAATGGCATACAGGGACTACCTGTGGGTGACAATGACTCATTGTCCCTGGTAGTCCCTACTATCTCTCAAGCGCAGGATGGCATGCATGCCAATCATCTTGATTCTATTCTGTCACAACTTGTGACTGCAGTTGAAACGAAACTGTCACAGCAAGATGCAGCTCATCTTTATGAGATGAAAGACCTGCTCAATGCCAGCCACAACAGACTTATCAGGATGATTCAGCACCAGATTGATATCATAGAGTATCCATCTCATTCGCCCGGTTCGTCTGACTCGCCTGGCAGCCCGCACAATGGATACAACTACGTCTGCAAACTCTGCCCCAATGGAAAGCGCAAATCTTATACGGATCGAGGTAACTTCAGGCGTCACGTCTCGGACCAACATCACTCTGAATTTCGCTACCTGTGCCTGAATTATCCAAATTGCCGCTGGTCAGCACACAGGCGGGATAAGGTTTATCACCACATGAGGATCCAGCATAAATTTTTTAGAGCGTCTCGGGAGCAGGCAAATCGAAGGAGAATTAGACAGACCCCACCACGCCAATGTGGGCTATGTTTACAGCCTGTAAATTGCTGGGCGGAGTACTTCAAGTGCGTTGCCAACCATTGTCGTGTCAGGAAAGTCGGTTCGACCAATTCAAGCGCAAGCCAGAGTAGACGGGGCAGCGATGATCGCGGAGGAGGGGGCAATAACGGACCTGGCTTCGGTGGGAATTTCTTCCCTGGAGGTGGTTTCGGTCAATTTGGTCCACACCAGTTCTACCCTGGCAACAATGGGGGTTTTCCTTCGACTGGTGGCGGTCAGAATAATGGCCATTATGGTAACAGTTTCTCTGGCTACAGGGGCGCTACAAACCGAGATGACGAAGAGTCTACCTCAGGCTACTCCTCCGGAGAAGCTGATGCTGTCTCAGATATAGCTCCATCATCGTCTTGCTGCTCCAGCGACGTACCACACACGGTGGAAGTTCCTGCCCCATCTAATATCACAAGCCAGCATTTGGCACTGATGCAGATGGCAGAGAGAGCTGAAAGCTGCGACTCGGTCTCCCACGGCGAGGATTGCCCGCCACCCACACCTGGTGAAACGGAGATAAGCAACCCGGGCGACAAAGCTTATCGCCGTATATCACGGCCTTCCAGTAGCACGGATCTAACCCCCAAGCGGGGCTTCCCTCCTATGACTGATGATAGTTCCGAGAAGCGGTGTCAAGGCTGTGGACACACTTTCGACGATTGCGATAAGTGTCGTCGTCTAAAGGGAACTTCCTTCCAGTGCCACTTGTGCACAGACAGTAGCTGCAAGCTCCATGCTTTTGAGGGTGACCTCAAAGGAAGCGGAGAACCGCAAAGCTGCAGGCAGGTAACTGATGAAGGTGATGTAGGTGTTCTTGCGCACCCACTCCGGGCTGATCATTGTTCCCTGTCGCCAACTGAGCACCCTCTGGAGTCTCCGTCTCTCGGTGATTATGATCGGCATACAAAACCTGAAGAAGGTTGTCATCTTGGAGCTCGAAAATCATCGGGTGGCCATAACCTTGGCTTGGGAGCTTCCAATGATGGGGAAGTACATTCTGGCAGCCCTGGTTCTCTTAGTCGGGATTCGCCTTTTGGCTTTGAAGTGACTTGCTCCCCGATAAGTCTGGACACTTCATATTGCCAAGCGCTACCTTCTCTGGTCACCAAAGTACCACGAGAAGGAATTGAAGCTGCCGATGGATATGGAAGCGGTAAGCTAATGATGACCGAGGAGTTGAAACAAACACTCGATATATTGTCTGTTGCGGAGTCGACATATCAGTCGTACGAAATCCTCTCATTCTGTGTCCTGAGTGCAGTGCAAGAGTTCTTCGACCAGATGCTTGTCTCTTGGCTCGTCTGCGAGGCCGCCCTACTAAAATCAGTGTCATTGTCGTACTGTGGGTGCTTGCCCCATTCTCCTTCAATGGAAGAGTCTGCTAAACATCGGTCTAGGTATCGGTGGAAAGGGCATTTCCTGGGAACGAACCGAGTCCGCTATTAGTCGGCGCTACCTACCCTTTCCATGGGAAAGGATTTGTTACCAATCCACAGCTAGACGAATTCCGCGGAGAAAGCATTCACTGCTGCGAACGAAGCTACAAGTGATCTCCGGGGTTCTCATACTGCGTGCCACTGTTATGAAGAGGAAGCCATCGATGAATTCATCCACAGACACTTCCGCAGAAGTTTCCGAGCCTAGCAAGGTAGGCACTGAGCTCCAGGTAATTGAACCAGGTATCCATGCGGCTCCATCTATCGAAGTGATGTTCAGCCGAGGCACAGAGGTGGTAGCGGACGCATTCTCCAGCTTGATCACCGGCGTCATGTCTGCAACAGAAGAAGAGATGGAATACTTCAAGCCCCTATCCGCGCATATTTCGAATCTCTTCACAAGGGGATCGTGGCTGGGAGAGGAGAGCCTGACTGAGTGACTCTATTGCCTCTGCAGAGGCTATTTCGGTTGACTATTTTTGCATGTACACTTAATATTCCCTTTATTCACGAATTTTACGACCGCATGACTTGATGTTGATATCCCATACATGTGTATGTAAATATGTGACACGAGCTTCATGACTCGCTAATATGAATAATGACATCCATTGTCATCCTCCGCACCCGGCATCGGGGATAGGAGTTAACAAGCCCGCGCACTCCGAGATGACATAACCGACCGGTATCGATAAGCGGTGCCAGCAACGACTCCAACTATTTCGGAGCCAGTGATTGCCGGCCAATTGAAGACGCAGCCCGGACACCTCCCCTTGTCCTTTATCACTAATTGCTCTCCCTTGCTATTGGAAGTCGGGTGACAGACCCTAACCGACTAGTGCCTGCTATGATATGATCCCAGTCGCCCATTCACCGACTACTACTCCCACCCCCCCTCACGTTTTCGGCCGATCATGAGTACTAGTCGTCCTCCTCCGCCGCCGTCTGGCTCGCCCCCCGCCCAACCGGGGTCTCCTCCGTCCCGAGATTCTGGAACTGTATGGCATCCCGCTAGGGAATGGTTGGAAGAGGACGAGGACGAGGATGATATGGACTATGAGCCGGATGAAATAGAGGCAGAAGAAGAAGCAGAGCTAGATGCGGAATTGTATGAAGACGAGGAAGACATTGATGATGCTGATGATCATCGCTTCGGTAGGATTTCCCACTCCCCCCTCCTTTACAACTGGCACATTGGCTTGCATGCGTTGGATTTACTTCTTCTTTTGCTAGTGTCTTTTATTCTGAGAACTTACACCTTTTTCAAGACCCGGAATTGCATCTAGGTAATATACATATTGAATTCGCCATGGATGAGTCAGATCATGAGCAGCAGGGTGAGGAGCGTCACGAGGGAAGGCACAATAGAGGTAGTGTTCCCGCATTCTTTTTTGTTGCTTACTGCTGCTGTTGCTGTTGCTTAGGCTTTGGACACTCATTGTAGCAGTTTCCGCAGCTCGATTACTGAACCTTTTGGCTTCGAATGGTCTACGCCATATTTTACATTATAACGGATTACATGATGCCAACGTGGTAGAGGACGACGAGGAAGAAGATTACGAGTTCGGATTCTTCGGATACCGGCGACGAGCACGACGATCGGGAGGTCAGCAGTTTCCCAAGGTACCAAGCGAAGAGGGAGCGCAGCTCATGGGTTCTGGTGATTTTGGATCCAACCCTCACTATGTGGACAAATTGAAGAGGCGCAAACAGGCCCTGGCGACGAAGATCATGTGGCGAGAACTGGGGGTGGATGTGTCGGGGCCGCAGAGGCGGGATATGCAGTCGATAACTCAGGTGGGATTCGTTCAGCTGGGGAATACGTTTGGCTCTGGCTGACTGTTGTAGGGACTTATTCCGGGATCGGTGGCGGATAAGATCGTTCATTTCGACTCGCGGTGCTACTCTGGACAGTTCTCAGACGATGGGAATTTCTTCTTCTGCTGCGCTCAGGACTTCAAGGTCAGGATGTACGATACGTCCAATCCGTTCGAGTGGAAGTATTACAAAACCGTGGACTACCCGTTTGGGCAGTGGACTATCACCGACGCCAGTCTGAGTCCGGACAATAAGTTCCTGGCGTACAGTTCGATTCGGAATCTGGTCTGTCTTGCGCCTACCGATCCAGCGGATTCCTCGGATCCGGCTATATTGGATTTGTCGTCGCTTTCAGGAAGGCGAGGCGGGCGTGGCCTGTATGGCAATTCTCATTTCGGGGTATGCACTGACCGGTTCAAAGCGGGCCGTCTCATGTTAACTGACTGGTATAGATCTGGTCGATTCGATTTTCGGGCGACGGTCGGGAAATCGTGGCTGGTACATCCGATCAATCGGTTATTGTTTACGATTTGGAAACGCGCCAGTCTGTCCTGCGGCTGCAGAACCACGAAGATGACGTGAACGCTGTCTGCTTCGGCGACAAGTCATCTCCCCATATTCTTTATTCGGGCTCGGACGATACCACGCTGCGCGTGTGGGACCGACGCTCGATGGGCGACGGGCGCGAGGCCGGTGTGTTCATGGGTCATACAGAAGGGTTAACTTATGTTGACAGCAAGGGCGACGGGCGATACGTACTATCCAACGGCAAAGACCAATCGATGAAGCTGTGGGATTTAAGAAAGATGATGACGACAGCCAAGTTCGACACCATTGATGTTAACCGATACACGACCGGTTTCGACTATCGATTTGAACCGTATCCCGACGACTATTACGAACCTCATCCCCATGACTGTTCGGTAGTAACGTTCCGGGGCCACCGTGTGCTCAAAACTCTCATCCGCTGCCACTTCTCCCCTCCGGGCAGCACCAACTCGAGATATGTGTATACGGGCAGCGAAGACGGTAAGGTATATGTATATAATCTGGATGCCACACTTGCAGGCACGATTGATGTAGGGCAAGCGACGGTCAACTCGCGGCCGCGCGATCCGGATATTTTCACCGCTGCGTATGAAATCCGTAGCAGTCGCAGCGATGTGATGTGGAAGACATGCGTTCGGGATGCCAGCTGGCACCCGAACTCCCCTGTCTTGGCAGGTAAGTTATCGCGGTTGAGTGGATGAGATTGAGCTAATCTGAGGTTGTAGCAACGTCCTGGAATGGTTGGGGATTGTCCACTGGTACGTGCACACTGCATACCTGGAATGACGGGGTGGATAGCGATGAGGGCGATCCACCGGTGGCAGGGAACTACGACAGCCGATTGAACTCGGTTCGGGAATTCAACTTATTCAGGGAGAAGATGATGCAGAGCCGAAGTCGACCAGTCCAAAGATCTGCATTGGACGATGAGTTACATTATGAGTTATGGTGATGAGAATTTGGACGTATACGCAGGCAGGTAACTGCATTCCACTTTCTTTTTCCACTGCATGACCGCCATGGCGTTGGCTGGCTAGCTGAATATAAATGAGGATTGGCAAAGAGACTGGGATAAGCAGATAGTCATAGAATGTAATTAGCTCGTTCGAGGATGGGGTTATCGATAACGCGATCACATATAGTCAACAATCTAGGCCGGGCTATGAATAGCACGGTCTTTCTTTCTCTTTCGAACGGGGAAGCAAATGGCCGGCGTGAGAAGCAGCACTGCTCTTCACGAACCATCACGGCAGACAGAGGACTTTGCACATTTCAGATAGAGTAGTTCACAGCTGCAAAGAAAATTCGTGAATCATTTGCGATCTTAATAGAGTTCGAAACAACAGCATCCCGACGCGTCACGATCTGGGGTCCGGAGCGGAAGTTCAACCGAAGCCGAGAGAAGGCCGGAGGAGAGTTGAGGTCGAGATCGCCGCTGTCCTTCCCTCTCTCTCTCTTGTCTCTTGCTTCTGCTTCCGCTTCCCATCGCGCTCCACCCGCAGCCTGGCTTCGGACACGTCTTCCCACGCTTCCATCCCATCCCCATCATCCTCCCCTAGCCCTATCCCTCCTTTCTTCTTTACCTTCTGCATTCCTCACTTCTCCGCTCTCTCCTCTTCTTTCGCCACCCTCCGGCGTTAGCGGCGACGAGTCAAGTCAGGGGATTCCAGCTGGACGTGTGAACCGCTGGACCTGACCTAACCTGAATAACATCAGTCTCGCGAGAGCTGAGCTGAGCTGAGCTTAGGAACTAACTGCGCTCACCGACGTTGTTTGCTGGAACATAATTCTTTCATCTCCTTCCATTTCCTGTACTCTCTCATCTCTGGAAGTTCGTTCATATCTCTCGGAACCTGTTCTCTAGCACAAGCGCTCTGCCGGCCCCGGCAGCAGCTGATCATCGGCGCCGCATCTTCTGTGGAAATTACCTGCAACTCTCTCCCTTAACCCAATTATACTACCCTTTCCCTGTACTGAAAAAAAGAAAAAGAAAAGTCCTGGAACAAGGCGCCAGAATCTCCGTTTCAGAGCTTATCAGATTGACGAACTGGTCAAGTGTTTGTTCTTTTTGAAGCTGTCTTCGCTTCGGATTGTACGTATCATCAAGCCTTTTTTATGTTCCTCTGTTTTGTTTTCGATTGCAATCTGCCAATCGATTTCGCATGGTGCATTATCCCCTGTGAGCTTTAAAGAAGAAAACCAGAATGTTGAAAACAAAAAACCGTGGATTTCCCGCCATCAGAGTCGGAGGAAATGATCCCAGAAGCCTGCTTTTGTCGTTATTGTTGTTTTTCTAAAATATCCAGTGGATGAGAATTCCCTCCTTGCTAATTGACCGCCTGTGTCTACAGACATGTACTTCCCTTGAAAATCAAATCGATCCTGAAGCTGAGAAGAGAAAGAAGAAGAGCCAATATCCAAGGAGGACTGTATATCACAAGCAAGCAATCAAGTTTTCCCTTGAGAGAGATATCCGATCATAAGCTAAAACACCATGGCTACCGAAGATGATAACTTCGATATTGACATCTATGGAGATGGCGGTGGCTACAATGCCAATGAGCAGGGCCCCGAGGATGAGATGAAACATGATGACACAGAACTTATCCTAGATGCGCCGGAACCCACACAACAACAACAGCAGAATGGGAACCCCAACCACCAAGGCGACGGCTCCTCCGACGGCACCGTCAAGCCCGACAGTGAAGGCGGCGCTCCCCATAGTGACCCTGTAACCCAGGCGGGCTCCGCCAACCCACGATCCGCGGCCAAGGAGACTCCCACCCCCCAGCAGGGAACCAAGCGCAAGGAGCACGATGATCGCCCGACAGACCCTGATGCTACCCCTGCTCTGCTCATATCGGACTTGTATTGGTGGACCACGGACGACGACATCCGCGGCTGGGTGTGCCAGGCCGAGTGCGAGGATGAACTGAAGGACGTAACGTTCAGCGAACACAAAGTGAACGGTAAAAGCAAAGGGTAAGCAGGATGCAGGATGCAGCAAGCAGCGGTGGCATAGTGGTCCCATCTACTAACGTGATGTTATTTAACTCATAGACAAGCGTTCCTCGAATTTACCACCCTCCAAGCAGCCACCGCAACGAAACACAAGATCGAGTCATTCAGCGCCGGCGGACAAACGCGCAAGCACATGGTCACCTACACCAGTCCGCAACCGAACCCGTTCCGCACGCTGCCCAAGGATGCGCCTATGCGCAAGGACAACCAGGCGCGCTCGATGTCCGGCGGCTTCAACTCGCCCAACCCGAACATGAACTTTGGCGGAGGCATGAACAACATGGGCGGCGGCGGCGGCGGTTATCGCGGCGGACGCGGTGGATACAACAACCGGGGCGGCATGTCCGGCGGCATGGGTGGTGGGAACTTTGGCGGCAACCGGAACTTCCAGAACCCCATGGGTGGCTTCCAAGGGCCGATGGTGGGCGGAGGCTTCCAGGGTAATCCCATGGGGATGCAGAACTACGGTGGCTTCAATAACCGCGGGGGGATGATGGGCGGTATGCGCGGTGGCCCTGGCGGCATGCGCGGTCGTGGTGGTGGCATGGCAGGACCCAATATGATGGGAATGCCGGGGATGAACCCGATGGGAGGCATGGGGATGAATGCGATGCCCGGGGCGATGAATCCGATGATGGGAGGAATGGCGGGTAATATGGGGATGCAGGGTGAGTACCCAGGAAACAGTGGATAGTTGTGTTTTTGTATACTGATCGAGTGCAGGACAAGGTGGATTCCAGGGCCCCAACCCAGCTTTTAACCAGGGCTTCTTCCCTCCTAATCAGGGCGTCGGCGATGGATCATGGAACCCTCATGGGGCCAAGCGCAGTCGCCAGGAGTGATGATTGACCCTTGTACACCTCCCTTTTTCTTTTCTTTTCTTTCCTCGTATCTTTCATTTCTCTGCTCTATCAATATCTGGGTTTCATTGCGCGGGTTCGGGGAAATTGGTTTTTATTATCTGTTAGGGTGTATTAGACAATTAAGGGTCTGCAGAAATCTGTTTCGTTCTCGTTCATTGCTTGCTTGTCTGCATATGTAGTTATAGTTTGAGTATAGGAGTTGGTTGGTAGTATTAGCTTATCATATCACTTATCAATAAGAAGCAGATAGCATACATACAAGATAGTAGATAGTAGTAGTATCTAGAATGTTGTAAGTACTAAAGTAGTGACAGTGACAGCGGAATGGAGCAACAATGCACCGATAACCCGATCGGCGGGAATTCCAGCCCCTCTTATCGTCATCTGCCTACAACCCTCTCTTGAATTTGGATACCCCTGCTATTTACTCGAACCGTGGTGATTCACTCAATCACCCTCTTCGTCTCTAATTGATTCCTATCAGCGACGGATATTCCCCAATACGCAGAATATAATCCAACCCCGGAGTTACTCCACCACTTTCACCACCTGGAAGTAACCCATCGAGCTTCCCCGCATCCAACTACCACTACCCTCTCTACCCACCACATACATACACGCAGAGACACCGAAGGAAGACATCGAAGATGCAAGCCGTCCCCGAATCCCGCCAACAAACCTTCGAGGAGATCTACGGCCCTCCGGAAAACTTCCTCGAGATAGAAGTAACCCATACCCTTCCCCCATACCCTCTCCCCTTCCTCCTCCCCAACTAATATTCTATAAAAATATAATCTAGGTAAGAAACCCCCAAACGCACGGCACCTCCCGCAACATGTACACCTCCTACGAAATCGTCTGCCGCACCAACATCCCAGCGTTCAAACTGAAACATTCCGTCGTAAGGCGCCGATACTCCGATTTCGAGTACTTCCGGGATATACTCGAGCGGGAGTCGACGAGGGTCACGATCCCGCCGCTACCGGGGAAGGTATTCACCAATCGGTTTAGTGATGATGTGATTGAGCATCGACGGGAGGGGTTGCAGCGGTTTTTGCAGATTGTTGCGGGCCATCCGTTGTTGCAGACGGGGAGTAAGGTTTTGGCGAGTTTTGTGCAGGGTATTTTTCCTTCTATTTCATATATCCCTAGGGGGTGGGGGTGTTTTGGCTAACTGTGGTTTTGTGTAGATCCGAATTGGGATCGGAATGCGTGGTAGATTGGTACGTACTTCGTACTGTGGGGGAGGGATGGAGGGGTGAGTGGGTTGGGGATATGGAGGGGGATATGGTATGGGAGAATGAATGAGGGAGAGTATGTGATAAGGTAGGAGGGAATCATTGGCAATTGCGGGTTGAGGTAAGGTAGTATTCGTCTGTTCATTTTTCATTCTGTCTTGTCTGGCGGATATCATGTAACTAGCGTTCTGTTGTCCTTTTGCAATCAGTGTTGTTCTGTCATTCATGTCTGTCTGTTCTTAGCATAAAAGCTGTTATCATCCTGAGCATACTTCACTACTCTCCATGCAATCTACTATGCTGTCTGCATAAGTCAATAACACATCTCTACTGACGGTTAAATGCAACTACACTAGCTATGCAGTATCTATGCAGCTCGCTATGCAGCTCACTATGCAAGCTCATCCCACATCGGCGCCAACGTATTATCTGCCCACGTCGCATCCACCCCCGAATTCTCGTCCATCGCAAACGAAAATACCCCCGCACTGCTCGTGCTCTCGTGGAGTCCCTGCGGCGGGGCTGGAGGCGACAGCGCTGGATCAATTGGCCCGCGCGCATTGCCGCTCTCCGCCTGCCCGCGAGCAGATCCCCGTGCAGCATGCTGCTTTCCAGGGTCAGGATTCCCCCCTGGCAATCGTCCGCTCACGGACCCTCCGTCCCGGTAGGCGTGCGGGAACTTGGTCCGAAATCGGTCTCGCAGGTCCGTGGCCCGGCGATGAGTCAGATTCAATCGCTTGTCCTGCTGGATCAGAGTCCACTGGAAGCCATGCACGGCGTAGCCTTTCAGCAGCGCTTCGTCCTCGACCACGGTAAACGGGCGGCGTGAGCGACGCCGCGACTTCATCGTAAAGTGCGGCTCCGGGATGCCCAGGGACGCCAGCGTGGATTTGGATCTACTAGAGAGCGTAGGGGTAGTCTTAGACAAGGTGCTGCTCTTGGCCTTGCTGCCTTTCGAGTCAGCATCTTTTGAGCTGCTGGCCTCATTCGCCGCAGCGCCACTGGCCTCCGTATTAGCCCCCCGCGGGTGTGGGAGATGGATCTTCCCCGCTTGTCCGTCGGTCCCTTCGGTTTCGGCACGCGAGAGAGCGTTCGCGAGCGTGTCATGCAGCTGTTTGGTGGCTTCATTGGGATCCGCGGCCCTTGATAGATTAGATGTGCACAATCGACAGTCTCGTTCAACTCACCGATATGCCCAGGGGCAACACACACGAAACCTAGATTCACTTAGTTGGCATCCAGTGTCTCCTCCACGTCCACATGGCTATACCATACCTATCTTTCAGATTGGATGCGCTACGCTTGTTGAACTTCAACTCCGGCTGGGCCAGAATCGCCGTCCAGTTGCCGATGCCGCACTTGACCACCCCGCGCAGCAGAGCAGTCGTCTCTTCCTCGGTCCACTTACGAAGGTTCTTGCGGGACCGGCCCCGCGTTTTAGGCGACAGAGGCTCGGTATTGTCCTCAGCGGAGGCGTCTTTATTGTCAGTCTCAGTGTCTGTCTTTTCGGTTCGTGTTCGTTCCGCTGCAGCAACATCGTCCAGCAGTCCACTGGCGATATCACCGTCCGCCGCTTTGTCGACCGGAGAGTCAAGAATCTCCTCGATGCGACCTTCTCGTCGCTCCGCAATCTGGCTATCTGCAGCATTAGCAGTGAGTAGGCCCGGCTCCACAGCCTCGCTGCCTCGGGACGGTTTGGTCAGTAGTTGTGTGATCGAGCCGGGTTCAATTGGAGGTAGCAAGGCCGCATTCGGAGGTGGCTCGTTGAGACCATTGAGAATAGCAAAAGGGCCGAAGGGCGGCGGACGCTGCTCCTTTTGTGCCTGCGGAATAGGCAACTGCAGGTGTTCACTAAACGTCTCCGCCTGACCGCCCAAACGCCTGCGTTTGCGGAAGTGAAGGGTGTCATCATCAAACGAGGAGTAGGGGTATCGTTCTAGAGCGCGGAGATTGACAAAAGCCGGGAGAATTGGCCGGGGAGGCGCTTCCAGGCTGGGGAGGGACTCCGCAGGGGCATCCGACTTCTTCGGTCGGGGAGCAGCCGCCCCTTCGGTGGCTCCAGATTGGGCCGAGTCATTGCGGGCAGGAAGGATGCCGGAATTGTTGTTACTGGAAGGTTCCCGGACGTGACTGGCATTGGGTTCGAGCGGGGAGGGCACAGCCAAGAGGCGAGACACCGGCTGACGGAGGGGAGCAATGCGGAGAGACTGAAGCTGGGGTAATTCGCGAATCAAGGATTCGTCGAAGGAGCGGGTATAGGAGCCGTTGGAATCCATGGCGGGGGCACCCATATACCCATTCAGGGGATGATCACTGAGGGATGAAGAGCACCATGTAGAAGGAGGAGGGAGATGCCACTGCCATTTTGACCGGATGATGATAGTTGGGGGAGATGCAGATGAAGGTGGAGGATGAATTGATCAGACTTGATTCCAGGTGGGCGGCTGATGAGTCAGCAGAGAGTCGACTCTTTCTGGGAGGAGTAGTTACTGTTGACTATAAACCAACGTAGGTAAGTACTTGCATAACTACAATATTGACTATAAGATATCTCATGGTACATCTTGAATTATATATGATGGTTTATGAAAAGCTATGTTTGAGATGAATAGTCTATACAGGCTAGTATGCACTGTCCCAATGGCTCATTTAATGTATTAAGTTCACCAAAAGCAGTAACCAGTTTTCCTATTCATAAAATGTTTGCAAGTAGTTATAAGAATGCGAAATATCCAAATACAACAATCCAGAATATAGCGGTGTACATACCTACTATACAGTAGTATTCAATAAGTTCAATATCAACTGCAACCCCATCATTCCACCAACTCCATCCCATAGAACCAACTATCATCCTACATCATCCCCACTATGCCCAATCCAGTAATCAGCTATCCATCTCCTCCGTACTCCATATACTAACTCTACTCTTACCTCTCCTCATCCACATGACATACAACCCAGCAACATCTCCAACAAAATGCCAACCAGCATATTCCCCCCAATCCCCTACCTAATATATGGCATCTTCGAGCCCATCTCCCTGTACATATTCCCCAATCACCCCCATAAACAACCAAACCAAACAAGTTAACTAACAAACACCAGAATCGGCGGCTCCCTCTACCCCCACCTCGACAGCACCTCCTTCATCCTGTCCCAAATCCCGCACAACCCCGACACCACGGGAACCATCACCCCGTCCTCGCTCTCCCTCGCCTACCAACTCTCCAACATCTACTTCCTGCTGGCGCTGCTCGGCGTCGCCCTGATCCACAGCACCTCGGAGCCCAAAGTGCTCAAAAACTATCTGGTGTGTTTGGCGGTGGCGGATCTCACTCATATCCTGGCTGCGGGGTGGTCCATGGGGTGGGAGAGGTTTGTGGATGTGGCGGAGTGGAATGCGTTGACGTGGGGGAATGTGGGTGTTACGGGGGCATTGTTTTTGAGTAGGGTGGTGGTGCTTGGGGGTGGGTTGGGGGGTGTGGGTGGTGGTGATGGGGAGAAGGTGAAGAGGAAGGGGCATTGAGTTGGGTTCTGTTGATGTGTCGGGTGTACATACAGTGTAGTCTAGGTAGTATGGGATGGATGGATGGATGGATGGATGGATGGATGGATGGATATCGGGGACCCGGGGATTATCAATCGCCGTTGTAAGTAGTCAGACACACTAGTCAGTAGACAACTAAACAGGACATGGTCATACATAGATGATGATATGACATTAAGATCGACATTTACCCTTTCTCGCAGTAGTAAAGGGAAGTATACCGATTAACCTTCCCCTTTCAACTCCAAACTAAACTATCTTTTCTTTGACCCGCTCGGAGTTATCCGATAGTTCATCATCATCATCATCATCATCATCACCCCTTCCCCTATCTATCCATCTAAGCTACCGTAACTGTACTAACAGACTAACTTCTACTTCTAGCCTAGCTTACTATAACAGATCCAACTAACTCTCTATCAAGAATAGATAGACTATTGGCAATGGTCTAGACCACCCCCCACCCCTAGTACCTACCCTGTGAATCTTCGGCTGGGTGTATCCTATTCTATCCATCCTATCTATCCAATGACTGGTAGTTTAGTTAACTAACTATGACACCCCCGGTTCGGATCAAAGGAAGTGCATGCATGCACCAAGCTCAAGGTCTAGATTCAATTTTCGATGAAGGAATTGCCAGTATGCTATGAGTAGTAGTAATAGTAGAAATACATGCCCAAAGAAAGAAAAAGGAAAAGAGAACAGGGATTATCCGAAATCAAAAAGGAAGAAGGAAGGAAAAAGGGGGAATGATCACAAGACGAAAGGAAAGCAAGACATCATTCGAATCAGACCAAATTGAATCAAGACAAGGAATAAAATAAGGAATGATAGGATAGAAAAGGAAAGAAATCGTCATATTAATCAGTCAGCGGCTTACTTGCTTCTGTTTCCTGCTCATCCTACCTCTGCTGCCCAGTACGCGTCATATTACTGCCCCCATATTGTTTGCTGCCTAGCTGTCCATCCATTGCGTCTAAATGACATCTGTTATTGCCCCAAGCTCAGACCACGCCACGTGTGTGCTACTAGTCTAGTTGGTGGGTACCTGACGTTGCAATTGCTGGAACAGTTGGTGCAGGGCTGGCGGGCCGTGCTGTTGGTACTCCCTAATGTGCGGGAAGAGGAAAGGGAGGCCCGGCGACGTTTGGAACTCCTGTCGGTAGGCCACAAAGTTCTCCGTTGGGTCCAGCAGGCACGCTAGTGCAGGGGGCAGCACCGGAGTCAGTGTCATCCGGTTGGTGGCGCTGTCCGTGTGTGTGAAGGTCGGGTTGGACGTGCTGTATTTGTACAGACCGCTGAGAATCGCCGTGAACGAGTGGTAGTTGCGGTAGGTGTAGAGGGCCTGCTGCTGTCAGTACGTGATTCTTTGTTATGCACTCCTGCAGAGAGGATGGGTGTGGTCTACCTCGACAATTTCCTGAATGTAGCCTATCATGTCTGGTAGTCCCGTGCAACATTCCCACACTTCTAGGCTTCGTAGCTCCCATAGCACTAGGAGTCGTTTGATTATGGCGTCTGGCTCCACGAAGCTCTTCTGACTCAATCCAGAGAAGTATTCTTCGTCGAGGGCGGTGGTGGTCTTGGCGAAATCGAGAGCCGGCGCTGGGTTCGTCAAATCTAGCTCGTCGAGCAAGGGAATTTCGACCGAAAATGGCTTCGTCCAGTTCATCTCCCGGGCGTGGACGTATGTTCGTGTGAACCGTACCCCCAATAC